AAATCTAGGATCAGCTCGGAAAAACGAAACAAATATTCTAACAGGGTCTCAGCGATATGTTACTTGCGGACTTGTTTTTGTGACTATGCCTTACCGCCGAGCACAGCCGCCGAGCGTAGCGGCGAGGATAGGGGCTAAACTAGATGGTTGGGACTTACGAGCGGCAGCTACAGCATCTCCTGTAACTTCCTCCAATTACTTTGCTTGTGAGTCCCAGGCACTTAGTTTAGCCCCCCATCCGCGCGTAGCGGCGCGGGGGATACTGTCGGCGGTGAGTTTAATCGCGTTTTGCGCATGCCGACAAGTCTGACATCTACCGCTGCTAAATCCTCAATCGGAAGAACAGTATTGCTAATCTGCGTGGGAGCGCGTGATCTACCCGCCATATCACTTTCATCGTCTGTAATGTCTCGAAATTGTCAACGGTCGCTTTTATCGTCTGCTAGTATCGTCTGCAGAAAACGCTCGACATTGTCACGGGTCGCTTTTATCGTCTCCAATGTTGAGTCTCGTGACTTTGTAAGGTACTCCTAGTTTTGCCGCAATGTGTTCCTCGGCGGGAACTCCGACAAGTCCGTATTTTTAATTGGACTGCGCCCCGAACGGATATTTAAGGCCGCAATACTGCGGGGGTAGAAGTTCGGAGGAGAGCCCTGCCTCCACCTCCATTCTAAAACTAGACGTTTTGATATCATGTGCAAGGCTTTGCTGCATTAAGCTACGTCCATTCGCTTTTGCTATGAACTCCTGTTCACTTCGCATGTCCTTCAACACAGCCATCTGTATAGGGCACCCTTATAGCTACAAATTAACCAGTAACCCATTGCGGGGGTTGGGACACTGTGATCCTTGGTTGTGGACACGGGACTTTAAACAAATGAATTACGGTCCATAAACTAAGCATATCCCAGGTTTCCATAACAGTATGCTTCCGGTTCAAGGGTGAATAAACAAGCTATGGCTAGCAGAAGGTGAAAACTTTCATGCTGATGTATATCATATACTAATTACTATATGTTTAGCAGCATAACACTGAACGACCATGGCAACTTTAAACTTATGGAGACTGTTTATCAGAAACACACAGCTCTTCCCGGACAAATTCAAGTATATGCAGCCAGTTAGTCGTCTGTATGCCTCTGGTAATTTCATTAGCAAAAAAAGTTTTGATTGCGGTCGAATGTCCTCACCTTTTCTGTCTGTCTCTCTCTAAGACTCTGTTTTCTTTCTGTTGCTCTCTCTCTCTCCTCTTTCTCGCCTCTATTGTACAGTGTAGATCTGAGGTTGACGATATTTTTTTTCAAGTCACAATACATTTTAAGTAAGAGTATCTTATTCAAAATTAATCCGTGTCCAGCAGCGAAGTTTATTTATTTCTTATTAATAATATTGATTTTGTATCAGTAAGGATTGTTGGCTATCCTCCGAACTTCGTGCATTAAAGATGGCGGCCGCAAAATATCCTTTCTAGCCACAGTCACGTGACTTAATTTGCAGCTCTCCTGCGGTTTTTCAGCAACTACCGCCACCACCACGAGTACCCTCTCATGCGGCCTGGATTGGGGCTAAACTAGATGGCTAGGACTCGCGAGTAAAGCTTTAGGCGATAGGGACTCAAGGCGGTGGCAGTAGTCGCCGGAGAGCTGCAAATTAAGTCACGTGACTGTGGCTTGAAAGGATTTTTTTGTGGCCGCCATCTTTAGTGCCCAAAGTTCGGAGGACAGCTGGATTGTTGTAGTGAAGTTTTATATATTGTTTCGTTTTTTTTTTTTTACAATATCGATGTCATAACCGTGTTTATACAGTCATAGTGTGGTGCATACCATAGAGGCGGTGTACTGTGCGTATCTACATAACGGAGAGTTGACAGACACGTCAGCATAGTGAAATCATAAGATTTATACAGGCTTCTGCTATATTGTAAAAAAAAAAAAAACCTACTTCATTGCAATTGGTTTTGCCCTATATGACTCATTTTTTTCTACACAATGGCTAGCCACCTGTCAAGAATAATGCACAAAGCACAACCTCCGTAGCTCCAGCAGCGATTCACAAGAAGCCTATAACATTCAAACCATTAGGCAAAGGCAAATGACTTACAAAATTAGCCACTGTGCATTCTCCTTTTAGTTTACTCTGTAGTTTTTATTTGTTTGTAAATGTTTTAATGGAGCAGCGTGTTAAATATTTTGGAAGCTACCTAACTTATAGTAGTAATTTCATGCCACATTAATGTGATGTATTAAACAAAGTGGATATACATTATCATTGCTACTGTGTGCATCAATGAATTAGCTGCTCTTTGTGGGCGAGTATGTATTATTTTTGTGTTGTTCACACCAGTACTGAAGAATGTGTCTGCCATGATTTGTGTTGAAATATCTTGAAAAGGAGACTCTTGATTGTCATTTGTTGAAGAAAGAGTGTCATAAGTGATGCCAGTCTGTTGTTAATTATCACTGTACCCAGAGCAGGAACTCACCACTCAGCTACAGTGGTTGAAGATTCAAAAAAACATCACTCATAATAGTTGTACTGTAGTAATTACTGTTCACATAGGTGGAATTATTGGAGGCTGAGGGTGCTCTAAAAAAATGTGTGAAACAGATGATAATATCAACATAAACTAGTGACAGTTCAACATTTGTATAAAACAAATACTTTAATGGTTGTATATTTTTATAAGTAAAACTCATATAACTAGCACTTTAGTAAGAATTTTAACTTCATTACAAAATGCAGCCATGATGGGTGATATGTTCTGGATTTGGAGGTGATAAGGCAGTAAAAATATCTGAAACATGCAATACTGCAAAACTTGAAGTAATGACAGATGCATTACAAAATGCTACAACTGTTGTAGATTTCAAAAACTTCTCATACATAAATGCTGTATTTCAGTATAAATTTTAACTTTTTAACTAACTATGTTTAGACATGGTGGCCATGGTAGTTGAAATTCATATCCAGAGTTTGAGGTTACCAGGTAAAAAAAAAAGTTCTCAAACAGACAATGCTGTTAACTAAAAAAAAAAAAAATAGCTATCACAGATGCCTGAAAAAAATGCTACAATGTTTGTGGATTTCAAAAACATAATTCAGATACCCTAAATACTGAAATAAGCATTTAAAGTAATAAGCATTTCGAGTAAATTACTAAATAGCCAAAACAATTAATCTACTGCAAACCTAAAAAATTGGCGTCTCGTCAACTCCCATTTCGGAATTCATTAGCAGCCCTACTTGTACTATTTAAATAACGACCCCAAGGTCCCTTGTGCTCTCCTTTACCACCAGTCGATTGGTGTTTTGATTAAACATGTTCTCTAAGTAAAACAACAGTTTTATTTAATAATTAGCCATTTTTCCCTACAAGCCTAAAGCAGCTGCATACTTTTAAGTATTTAGATACCATGATAACAGCAAATAGGAGTTAAAATGCATAGTAAAAAGGACCCTTTTCCACTGTCAGACATATTGGACATATGGTTCTAGACCTCTATTTTATAGTCCAGTCAGCACTCAGTTGGTGATGTGGTCAACATCACTCAAGCCACCTTTACTTCCCATGACTTTACCTGGTACCAGTTTAAGGCTGGGTCATCCCATGTGGGTTCAGGGGTCCCATTATAAAGTAAACAAAAATAGACCCACTGCCTACCCAGGAGCTTGTCATAAGAGTTGACTGATTAGGACTAAAGTGGATAAACAACCAGAACTTTCTGCCGAAAGTTGCATCTGGTGAATGCGAAGACGAAGAAGAAAAGGCTGAGCCAACCTGGTGGCAAATTTGTCATTTTTGAAAAAGAAATGGAAAAAAAAAAGTCCAGCTAAAATGCACAGTAGCTCAAGTATTTCACAAGATTAAGAATATTTATATGAAATCACGTTGAGCAAACAAAAGACATATTTATTGAAAATTAACTCAGGAAAAGAACTGGTTAACTGCATTAGAAGGAATAAAATAATATTATTTGGGCAAGGTCATACGAAGGTGAAAGGTCAAGTGATGGTGTGACAGTGAGAACGCTAAAGAGGGAGAGGTGCAGAGGGAGACCAAGAGAGAAGAAAATGGTGTCAGAAATGATTGACATTGTACAAGACAGAAGGATGTGGATAGTCATGATTACCTGTGCCACACAGTATGGACAAACAGTAAGTAAAGTAAAGATCCCTTTTCACGCCTTTCGTCGCATCGGGCATATGGGCAGAGCGTCCCATCTTTTTACAGACCATCAGCACTCTGTGGGTAATGTGGTCAGCATTACGCCGGCTGTCTTTACTTTCCCAGGACAGCCCATCCTGGTACCCATTTTAGGCTGGGTCGACCTGCGACGTCCCATACCACGATAAAAATCCACCCAGCCTGCAGTGGGTTTCGATCGCGGTATGCTGGCTTACGAGTCGGACTCGCAACGCCTTAGCCACGGACGCCGCATGGACAAACAGAAGATGAGAATACCCTGGATAGATAAAAAAGGGTAATGAAGATACCTTGATAGAAACTGACCCATAAAGAGAACTGATTGCCCACATAAAAAGAAGGCACTCTACATTCTTTGGTCATGTCATGAGAAAAATAAATCGGGAATACATCGTGATGGTGGGAAAGCTGGAGGGGAAAAATGGTAGAGTGAGAAGATGCTGGACAGTTTGACATCATGGCATGGAAGATCATCTGTGTCAGAAATAATGGAAAATAGACAAGACAGAAGGTTGTGGATAAACATGACTACAAATGTCACACAGCATAAACTATAAGAAGAAGATGATAGCTCAGTTGACACTAAATTGGTGGTATGGTCATTATCACACTGGTCACCTTTACTTCCCATGACATTTTCTTGCACTCATTGTTACCTTGGTTGAGTTATAAGGAAAAGATCAGTTGATCTGCAAATCTGCTTCACTGCAGATAGGAGTATTATGCTTGATTGAAGCACACTGCATTACTGACTTACATATTTATAATATTTTCACTTCCTGTCTGTGTTTTCTAGGCCAGTATAAAAACCTTCGAGTTGAGAAAAGGGGGGAGAAAGAAAATGTACTTCTGATTCAGCTGAATAGGCCTAGAGCTTTCAATGCTCTCAGCGATGCTTTGATATCTGAGCTGAGTTGCGCCCTTCAGGATGCGGAAGCTGATAAAGATGTAGGTGCTGTAGTCCTAACTGGCAGTGACAGGGCCTTTTCAGGTAACTTAAGTGTGTGATCGATTGTATCTGTTGTCTTGTCTGTCCATTGTTGAACCAGTTGAGGAACTGTTCTGTTCTTTGTGAATTGATTGTATCTGTTGTCTTGTCTGTCCAGTGTGGAACCAGTTGAGGAACGGTTCTGTTCTCTGTGAATTGATTGTATCTGTTGTCTTGTCTGTCCAGTGTGGAACCAGTTGAGGAACTGTTCTGTTCTTTGTGAATTGATTGTATCTGTTGTCTTGTCTGTCCAGTGTGGAACCAGTTGAGGAACGGTTCTGTTCTCTGTGAATTGATTGTATCTGTTGTCTTGCCTGTCCATTGTTGAACCAGTTGAGGAACTGTTCTGTTCTTTGTGAATTGATTGTATCTGTTGTCTTGTCTGTCAGTTGTTTAACCAGTTGAGGAACGGTTCTGTTCTCTGTGAATTGATTGTATCTGTTGTCTTGTCTGTCCAGTGTGGAACCCATTAATGAATTATTCTGTTCTCTGTGAATTGATTGTATCTGTCGCCTTGTCTGTCCACTGTTTAATCAGTTGAGGAATGGTTATGTTCTCTGGGAATTAATTGTATCTGTTGCCTTGTCTGTTTATTGTTGAACCAGTTGAGGAATGGTTCTGTTTTCTTTGAATTAATTGTATATTTAGGGGTGTTTTCTTCAAAGTTGCATTGCATCAGTTTGAGAGAGAGAAACCAGCAGTCTGCATACAAATAAGCCAGATCTGTATAACAGGTGTGCACACAAAACTCAAGTTCTAGAATAAGACTACAGTCCAGAAGTAAATGAACAACCAGAACTTTCCACTGGAGTTTACAGCCAGTGAACACTAAGAAGAAAAAGACGGTCAGCCTGGAAGCCCCGGTCAGTCTGGAAGCTACGGTCAGTCTGGAAGCTACGGTCAGTCTGGAAGCCCCGGTCAGTCTTTAAAAAGTAAAAAAAATAATTGTCCTAATAGGGATTGAAACACTTGACCACTGGGTCAATAAACAAGCAGGCAAATCACTGGCACTGTGGCTGCTATACTTTCCGGTACACAAGAGATATTTTTGTCAGTCTCAGGAGAAGATTCAACAGACTAGTCAGAGATTAATTAGTGACTATTTAAGGGTTGGCATAAAACAGATGTGTCATACCTAAAGGCACGCATATCGCTGTATATCTTTTACCACATCACAGCACGCCAACCACCCTTTTGAGGGCTAATGCAGAAGAAGATGATAATGAAAAAGTGGAGGAAGAAGGTAAGCTGTGACATGCCTGCAAGCAGCCAGTTAAGTTCACCATTTAGAAATAAATACGAAGGTTATTATTTTTTTTTTTCAAAAATCACTTTCAGTTGGTAATGACATTAAAGAATGTTGAATGTTGAATTAAGAATCAACATCACAGCACTTGGGACACTCTCATAAGCACTCCATCTCCATCTTCAGCAGCAAGCAGAGTTCCAATTCCAGTGGCATCAGTAACTGTCTGATTGTATATCTGTCTCGCCCTTCCCCTGAGTGTTGAGCATCTGCCAGATCCCCTGGTAACTCCTCGCAGCGCCATTCTCCTCAGACCGTAATGATCTATCTGTGCCTCCACACTGTTCACTCGCTGACATTAAAGAAATTAAATCAGCGCAAAATGCATTCATCACAAATTTCCTAGAGTTTGATCTTTTAGCAGACGGGCGTTCAGCGAAGTTCATCATTTATTTTTTAATCACTTTCAGTTGGTGATGACATCAAAGAAATGACAGTGAAATCTGTGCAGGATGCAGTCACCACAAATTTTCCGGCGTTTGATATTTCCATAACAGGGTGCAGGAAAGTGTTGCTTGCAGCTGTCAATGGATATGCTGTAGGTTTATTTGTCATAGCAGCTTATTTTAGAAGATATCTTATGTAAGAGGGTGGGGGCTTTGAGGTTAATTGACATGTTTCACAATCATTAATATACCAGGATCCTATTGCCATAATTGATAGTTTAGAAGATGACCTTTCATCTTTTAAGTTGGTTTCCTGGTGCCAATTTTTTTATGTGATGGGGAAAAAAGTGTGGTGGGGTTAATAGACCCGCTTCTCCTTAACAAGCATGTCATAAAAGATGATTAATTAAAGACTTTCTGAAATCTTGTGTGTTGGGCTGAAAGGTGTAGAAATCACAACCTAACTTTAGAACACAACACAGTGTGCCAGCTGCTCTTTTAAGGATAAAATAAGAAGAATTGTGTATCAAGCAAGATGGCCTACATTAATTAGTTCCTACATAAATGTTTCAGATGTTTTCAGTTTTCATGAAAGCTACACCCACTTCATTGCTTTCACCCACATAATTATTTGCTTTTACCCAGACTGCCCTTGTACTTACTGCTTTTACCCACACTGCTTCTGCACTTGACATGTTTATGTTCTGGTTATTTCACAAACTCTATCAGTGCTTGGGGGTCTCTGTGGCAAAGTGGTTAAGCCATTTGCCTCGCGCTCTGAGGAAGTGGGTTCGTTTCATGACTGCGCCGTTCAGTTCATGGGTGCAATTTTACAGAGATCTCTGGGATCATCACTAGAGCTACAGAGTTTGTGCTTTGTATGGTGCTATCGACAGGTGGCTAGCCAGTCTACGGAGAGAAACCGAGCCATAGGGGATAAAACCTGGTGCAATGAAGTCGATCCCCTCGACTTCAACTTAAACTTTAACTTTCAGTGATGTATCAGTGGCTTTTTTCCTAGAAGAAAAGGTGCCGGTATTCAGTACAAAATTTGTAAATAAGATGCTGGTACTCACCACAAAGCGGGGGAGCCAGTGTGGTGTAGCGGTTAGATGCTTGCCTGCAGATCGAAAGATAGTGAGTTCAGGTCCTGACGAATCTGGACTTTTTTTTTTTTTTTTTTTCAAAAAATGACCTTGGCTTCCAGGTCGACCTTAACCTAAATGGGTACCAGCTACAGTCCAGGGAAGTAAAGGTGGCTGGCATGATGTTGACCACATCATCTACTGAATGCTAATTGGTCTATGAAATATAGGTCTAGCCTCATAAGCCCAGTACGCCTGAAGGCATAGAGGAGGGTCCCTTACTCACCACAAAATGTTTTTTACAATAGCGCTGAAACAGATATTGCCTTTAAAGAGGTGCCAGTACTGTGTACCGTTGCTTATCCCAGAAAAAGCCCTGCATGTAATGACTAAATAATAAGACAAAATGGTTGTCATTGTGCCAGAATTTCAGAAATGTTGGAATTAAATTATTTTGAATAGAAATCTTGTAAGCACAGTTGAATATTTCTGCATATAACTTCTTTGATGCTGAAAGGAAATATGAATTGTTTGTAAATTTCATTTCAGCATAGAAATAGAGACAGCTGCAAGCAACATGTCTGATGTAGTGGGGTCTTTTATTGTGGAGTCAGAATAATTAAGAAATATTTGAATTTAAATTCTGCTGGCCTATCACACACAGGCGCTGCATTTGCACAGTCGATAGGAGACTCGCTTTCAAATCCAGCTGTGACTTGCTGCAGCCCACGACCTGTGTTCGAAATCGGGTGGTTCCTGGGGCCCACTCAGCCTTTAGGAAATAGGTACCAGAGTTGACACTCTAGGGTAAATGGAGGAACGTCTCTGTAACTACGGAGTTACGTGCAGACAGCGACACAGGTGGACCATTTCTTATCAGCAGTACGTACTGGTGGCAGAGCACTTATGGTTTATAACCATGTGCAATGACGCTGGTTCACATCTTGCTGACTTTACCTTCACCTTTATCACACTGCTTAGCTGCTTGTCTGCCAGCCAAAAGATCTTAGATAAATTTTGAATATGGATAGATTTTTTATATTTAACCAGTCGACCCAGGCTTACAGATTAACCAAGTTTTCTTCTTCTTCATTTCTTCTTGTTCACGGGCTGAAAACTCTAATAGAAAGTTCTAGGTGTTCATCCGCTTCTGGATGTTTATCTTGTTCCAGAACCTGAGTTTTGCAGGCACGTCTGTTTTACATATCTGGCTAATTTGAATGCAGACTGCTGGTTCCTCACATCTCAGGAAGATGCACTCTGACTCTCAAGAAAACTTCACTAATTAGTCGCCCTGCATGATATGTTTGTTGATTGTTTGGGGAAGGGGGAGCATACTGGGTATTCTTTCCCCCACCTCCCTTTTTCCGAATCCACATATAGAGGTAACCCATTCAAAAATGAAGACAGGAAATGACCTAGGAAGTATGGATAGCAGCATGTCTTTAAACACACCCCCTGTTGAGTGCCAATTTGCTTATAGTAATTTGAATCTAACACCTTCTTCTTCTTCTTTTTCTTCTTTTCTAGTCCTATATTGCCTTTCAGCGTCAGGTTTTGAAGAAGCATTGGGTGAGTGAGTTTGTATGTGCTACTTAGATGCTGATATTTATGGCCTCGGCTCTTCCAACCATCCATCCCGGTCTAACAGCATATGTCTAGTACCAAAGATGCCAGTGTAAAGGATTCTTTGCTTTACTTACTTACATTATACTGGCAGTGTGCATAAAGAATAATCTACATGTATGAATATACCACTGAGCAAGGATGATACAATATTAGAAATTAAAAACCGGGAAATCCATTCATCATCATCATTAAATACCTTCTAACTTAATGTATGCAGTTATACATCTTTTGCACCTTACAACCTCCAACAGCACATTTCACTTCATGGGTGGTGCATGATTGTGGTCGTAGGTGTAAGGGAACGTTAAGGCCATTGTGCTGTCTATAAACCCGGGCACTAAAACATGGTTTTTACAGAATCTCTTTACTCTTTCAGTGCCAACTGATAATTACTTTACAATTTTTTCTGTGCTTGAACTTTAAGGTTTGAAGCAGCTGTTTCTTTGAAGTCTGAGTGCATCTGCTTGAGAGGAGAGAAACCAACAGTCTGCAGACAAATAAGCCAGTTTTGTAAAATAGGTGCCTGCAAAACTCAAGTTCTGAAACAAGACCAAAGTCCAGAAGTGGATAAACAACCAGAACTTTCTGCTGGAGTTACAGCTTGTGAATGCTGAGAAGAAGAAGCAGCAAAAGTTTTAACCCAAAGAAGTGATAATAAATGCTGTAAGGCAGAAGAGAGTCAGAAAAGTATAGTTTCTTTGGACTATTTAATGAGTGTAAGGATAGTTGAGTTGATTCAAGTACGGACATCATAGCACTCAGGGCATTCCCATAAGGGCTCCATACCCATCTTCAGCAGCCAGTGAAGAGTTCTGATACTAATGGTGCCAGTAGCATTCTTATTAAACTTCGATCTTGCCTTTCCTCTGAACCTCGAGCATCTGCCAGAACCCCTCGTCACTTCCTGCTGCATCAATCTCACCAGATTGTGGTGATTCATCTGCTTCTCCGAACTGCACATGCTCTCCCACAAGGCACTAACCACGTCTGCCTTATAATGCATCAGTACTCCACCAAGTTGTGCAGAGCCAGCCAGTTTGTCCGCCTGTTCATTTCCCAATAAGCGTAAGGTGAGTTACACGGTACCAGAAGAGGACATTTCCAAAATGTTCTGGGACGGAACAGTAAGAAGAAATCTACCTCACAACACTGAAGATCTCAGTATCAGTGATGCTTTGTGGTTATTGTGATCTGTTTTCCATTCTGTTTTACAGTTGGTGCAGATATTGCTGAAATGAGCAAGAAAACCTATCAGTTGCTTGTTGAAACTGAATTCCCTAACTTTGAAGTTGTTGCCAAGACCAGAAAGCCCATTATGGCAGCCGTTAATGGATATGCAGTATGTGTTGTATTAATTGTGGAAGTTTCTTGTAAATTCTACTATTTATCCTCCTCCTTTTTTTTCTTTTTTCTTTTTCTGCTTTGGGCCACTGGGCATCACAGTTTAACAGATTATACGTATCCAAGCTAGGGCGTTTTTTATTTTATTTTTTATTTGGTCTGCTGTGATGTTTATTCTGTTCTGTAGTCCCTTTTCTAACTTTCAGATCGCCTTCTTATGTTTATCATTCTGTAGTGTAGGCCCTTATGTCCATATGTTCTCTAACATTAACAGGAACTTGCTTAACATAAACATCATTTTGGTCCTAGCAGGGATGTAAAATTATAAGTCTCCAGTTAGCACGATTTTTATTAACATGAACTCTTGATTTTTGATCCCTTTGAATTTGTATTCATGTAGTTTTACAATATTTATGTTTCCTCGTTTATCTTGACTGTTTATAAGCTTTGTTTTTTGTCCATATGTTTGTGTTGTGTTGAGTACTTTGTTGATAAAACTTTGGTTGACACTTTCGGTTGTGTTTGTCCACATCTTTTTCTTTTGAGCTTTCTAGTCACAGTCTGTGTTGTATTGAATGCTTTCAGATACAGTTTTGAAATGGGATGTGGTGCTAACCTTGCTGCGTGGAGGCTGGTATTCACAGCCTCAGATACTTTAACTAACCCGTGCTTGCGTGGGCACCTCTAGCTGTATGTTATTGTTGCACTCTTCTCCTCCTTCTCCTTCTCCTCCTCCTTCTTTTTATTCTTCCTTTTCTTCTTCTACCTCTTCTTCTTCTTCGTACAAGATAGGGTGGCCAGTGTTTTCCTTACCTTTCTGAATAATCCCCAGAACTACTGAAAATGATCTCGTAACCATTTTACCACGCTTGGTGACCCAACTGCTGTACTGGTAGCAACAAATAATCCTGCCTCTTGATGAGAATTTAACCCAAACCGCTACCTAGGCTAGCAAACACACTAAACCACTGTGCCATTTTAACTTCTCAGCAGTGTAAGATCACATTACCACCTACATTTGGCAAGATTGTGCATGAACTGATTTTGTTGAAGTCTTATTTGTGTTATGTTAGGTTGTCCAGTCAAGGAATATATTGAAGGGAGCAGTAATAAGTATGCTTAGGGATCATAGATTAAAATCCGCAATGAGTCAGATTTGTAAAACTAACCCGCTTCTACAGATTGACTAAGTTTCAAATGAGTACTAGCAAATGTTCTGGAAAATAAAGTAGGTCAACATAATATTGAACACATCAGTAGTGACAGTGCCAGTCAGACTAAAAAATGCTCCATATGCTCTGTCTATTTATATCTTTAACAAATGCAGTATAAATAAATAATTTCCTCTTTGTTCACAGTTATAATAAAAGTTTAGGCACCTAATTGACTATTCCTATATGTTGTTCTGGCACCTTTTCTTAGGCATAATTTTTTTTCACTGCCACTATAATAGACACCTTGTGGTGAGAGAAGTAGCACCCTTTTTCTAGGGAAAAAGCTCTGGCCAGGAGTATAATTACCTAGGATACCTTATTTTGATTAAAAGGAGGGTTCTATAGTGAATTGACTTAGTCGCTTGCCTTGTACTATGCAAGTTGTGGTTTCACTTTCAGGCTCCATCCTTTGGCTTGCAAGTACAGGTGTTTAAGAGGTTGCTGCTGGAACTACATAGTTGTCCTGCTTTGTGCGGTGCATGCATCTAGAAAATAACCACTGTTTGGAGACAGACTGAGCCATATGGGATAAAACCTGATGCCTGGGAAGGCTAACCCTGTGACAAATGCCAGATGAAGTCAGATATGTCAGCCAAAGGCACAAATATGGCAGCTATGCTGTATATGCATTTATGTCACTCGGATGAACAATGAAGATGAAGAAAAAACCCAATGCAATAAAGCCAGTCCATTCACCTTTATAAACTCTTGTTTAATGTCTACAAATTATGTAGAACTAAATTTAAACTTAACATATTCAAGATGCTACCCTCTTAATTCAATTCTCTCCACTTTATTGTCAGTAATTATAATGTTTTCTGTTACTTTTAACTTTTTTTAAAAATCCCACGAGATAAATACAACTATGCACATACAAGTACATACGTCAATGCACATTTAGAAATCTTTTTAGGTGCCTAGTCTGGAACATACATTGGTAATCATGGGTCAAGTTTACCTGTCATAAATTTTTGATGATGTTGGGTTTTGTTCATATGTATTATAGGCTGTTTAAGCAACAGATGAAGCCTGTCAGTATAACATTAAACTAATATATCATTATCTGAAATTGTGAGACCTATTGAATATATGTTTGTGTTGACATTCTCTGAAAATGTTGTTTCCTAAAATTATACTGTCTTTTACTTAATTCTGGTTGCAATTTAGTGAATGTTTGCTGTCATTTGCTGAATGTGTGCTGTCATTTAGTGAATGTTTGCTGTCATTTAGTGAATGTGTACTATTATTTAGAGAATTTGTTGCTGTCATTAGTATTGTCATGTCATGTATTGTGCTGTTATTTATTGAATGTAGATTATCACATACTAAATGTGTGTTGTCATAAAAGAATGTTGTCATTTACTAAGTGTTTGTATTTTACCAAAAATGTGATGTCATTTAGTGAATGTTTGCGCCATTTCCTGAATGTATGCCATCATTTACCAATGTATGATGTTGTTTACTAATGTTTGCCGTCATTTCCTGAATTTATGTTATTTTGTAAATATGTGTTTTCATTATCTATATGTATGTTATTTTCTATATGTATGTTATCATTTACTGAAAGTACCTTGTAATCTACTGAATTTATCCTGTCATTTACTGTATGCATGCTGATATTTCCAGAATGCATGCTGACATTCACTGCATTCATGTTGTCTTTTACTGTATGTATGCTGTGATTTACTGGATGCATGTTTTTTTTTTTTTTAACTGATTGTAATTGTTATTTACAAAATATATTTCTGACAGCTTGGAGGAGGGTGTGAGCTGGCACTGATGTGTGATATTATTTATGCTGGTGACAATGCTCAGTTTGGACAGCCAGAAGTAGCAATAGGCACTATACCAGGTTTGTTTGTGCTTGTATGAAAGATAAATATATAAATTATAATAAATGGTGCCATCTCCCTAATGGAGATTGGCTGCAATTTATTCGCTTCTATCTATGGGAATGTTATGTGGTGAGGCTGCCAATTTCTCTCATGTGTAACTCTGATACCACTGTATGAAACCATAAGAATGGTCATTAAATAAACCACCCTCCATGAGAAGCAAACCCTGATGAATATCAAGGGTTGCATTGTGAAACCATTTTGTTAACCGCTAAGCCACAGAGTTGCACCGTATGAGAGATATAGAAGTTGAAAGTTCATTCTAAAAAATGTAGATGGTTTCCAGTTGCCTGATGTTTTCTTTAAACTGGATAAAGCACTGGGTAGACCAAGAACAAGATGGAAGGATAACATCAGAGAAACTCTACAACAGCACGATGTGCCTATGGTCGAGGCAGCCAGAAGAGCTAGAAACAGAACCTTATATCTCCCTCGACACCCACAGTGGTAAAAGAGGAAGTGAAGAAGAAGAAGAAGAAGAAGCACTGGTTAGAAGAAATAAATAAATCTTCTTGTGGATGCTTCCAGTGGAGTATATTTCTTGAACCAATCTTGAACCAACTCACATGAAACGCTCAATTCATTTGCTGTCTCCTGCAGCTCCTTCCTTGTCCTTCCCATATTATTCATCTGTGTGTTAAAAATGAAACATGTTTATTGTATTATTCTTTCGTCGTTCCCCTGTATACCAGGTTTTAGGCCAGTGTCATATTTTTCTGTATTTGTCTTGCACTTCTCGGGTGGCTTGGGTTTTGGATTTGTTCATCTTATTGCAGGTTGCAGCTACACGATTAACCCATTTCTTTTTTGAGTTTTCCCTTCACTTTCCTCCCAGATGTTCTGTTGTAAAAAACATAAATTCTCATAAGCAGTTTGGTCTGGTTGCATTCTCACTATATCGCTGAACCATTTTATTCTTTGTCAATATAATTCCTATACAATCTTATTCTAGCTTCCTCTCTAATGCTGGTGTTCATAACCCTGTCTCTTTTTGTGTTGTTAGTGACCTCAACGAGACAGTCCATTTCACGTGTAGATATTTTCTCTTCTAGTGCCAGACTCATTATTGATGTTTCTCATTGGTAGCATAAAGTAGGTTTGAAGATGCTGCTAATAATTTTATGTTTTGCTAGACGTGAGACATTCGGGTGTTCATTTTATTATTCCCCTTTTTATTATTATTTTGTTTTATTTGTTCACAGAATATTTGAATACCATATTTTAGTCATTTCAGAGTCATTGTCATTGCGAATCCAAGACAGGAGGGACCTGTTACTGAAAATAATAAATATAAAGAAAGACATCCATGTAAAATATGTCAGCTATTTTTTTAAACATAACAGTTTTCATTTATAAAGAATTCTACATTTTATCTCTTTGTGTGTAATTTTCATAAAGATCAGGGGATCCATTGTGCCTCACCAAATTTCTAAACAGATTTCCTATTATTGCTGTCAAAGACATTTTCATACTCAACTGGACTGAACTTCTTTCTGCTGCTTATTTACCTGCATATGTTGTTGACTTGCTTCTTGTTTTACTATTTATTTTTGTTGCTCTTTATTTTACAAATTTTTTTGTTTCTTTTTTTTTTTTGTCCGATTGGTTTATTACTTGACTTGCTCATTGTTTTACTATTTATTTTACTGCTCATTGTTTTACCTCTTTTACGACTTACTTGCGATTGTTTTTCTACTTTTTAATTTCTTCATTTGTGTTACTATTTTTTTAACTGTTCATTGTTTTACTATGCATTTTACTTTATGATCGTTTTGCTACTTTTTTTCCCATGCTCCCATTGTTTACTACTTTTTTTTTTTTTTAACTTTGCTTATTGTTTTACTACTTAATTTACTTGCTCATTGTGTTATGATGTCCTGCTCATTCTTTTACTTTTCTTTTAAAAACCCATTTTTAAAAAATCTGTTAGGATTAAAAGCATACTATCAAGCTAGGTCAGCCCAGCCAATATGGGTACTAGAAATATCCAGGAAAGTAAAGGTGGCCAGCACAATGTTGACCTAAACATCAACTGAGGCATATAACAATATGAGTCTAGCATCTTATGCCCGATGTGCCTGTGGTGTTAAAAGGGTCTTATTTCTTTCTTGTAAAAAATATACTAGTATCTGAACACATCAGTTCTTGTTGTCAGTCTAAACATCAGTCTCACAGAAACTGTATCTGCTGAGAATTTCCAAATAAATAAATTCAGGAGACAAAGATGCGCAAGAGGAAAGCTAAGATGAATGTTATTCAGACAGCCCAAATTTGCTATACTGAATTCAATCCATGATATTCAAATTGTCTTCTTCTTGGCATTCACCAAGGTCCTGGAACCCACACGGGGGAGATATCGAGAGATTGCATGGGATAGAACAGAATGGAGGACTAGACTGCAAGCCCTGTATGCTATATAATGGCACAAACAGGAGGATGATGTTGATGAGAGTTTCAAAGTAATTAAATAGGGACAAGCACATTTCAGCATATAGATGAAAGTTTCATTAGACTAGTGAGACATGCAAGCTAGGGGTACATTTCACAGGGGCTGGAGCAACGCAGAGGTTGGCTAGAGTTATATAGATGAAACTTTCATTAGACTAGTGAGACATGCAAGCTAGGGGTACATTTCACAGGGGCTGGAGCAACACAGAGGTTGGCTAGAGTTATATAGATGAAACTTTCATTAAACTAGTGAGACATGCAAGCTAGGGGTACATTTCACAGGTGCAACACAGAGGTTGGCTAGAGTTATATAGATGAAACTTTCATTAGACTAGTGAGACATGCAAGCTAGGGGTACATTTCACAGGTGCAACACAGAGGTTGGCTAGAGTTATATAGATGAAACTTTCATTAGACTAGTGAGACATGCAAGCTAGGGGTACATTTCACAGGTGCAACACAGAGGTTGGCTAGAGTTATATAGATGAAACTTTCATTAGACTAGTGAGACATGCAAGCTAGGGGTACATTTCACAGGGGCTGGAGCAACACAGAGGCTGGCTAGAGTTATATAGATGAAACTTTCATTAGACTAGTGAGACATGCAAGCTAGGGGTACATTTCACAGGTGCAACACAGAGGTTGGCTAGAGTTATATAGATGAAACTTTCATTAGACTAGTGAGACATGCAAGCTAGGGGTACATTTCACAGGGGCTGGAGCAACACAGAGGCTGGCTAGAGTTATATAGATGAAACTTTCATTAGACTAGTGAGACATGCAAGCTAGGGGTACATTTCACAGGTGCTGGAGCAACAAAGAGGCTGGCTAGAGTTATATAGATGAAACTTTCATTAGACTAGTGAGACATGCAAGCTAGGGGTACATTTCACAGGTGCTGGAGCAACAAAGAGGCTGGCTAGAGTTATATAGATGAAACTTTCATTAGACTAGTGAGACATGCAAGCTAGGGGTACATTTCACAGGTGCTGGAGCAACACAGAGGCTGGCTAGAGTTATATAGATGCAACTTTCATTAGACTAGTGAGACATGCAAGCTAGGGGTACACTTCACAGGTGCTGGAGCAACACAGAGGTTGGCTAGAGTTATATAGATGAAAGTTTCATTAGACTAGTGAGACATGCAAGCTAGGGGTACATTTCACAGGTGCTGGAGCAACACAGAGGTTAACAAGAGTTGTATAGATGAAACTTTCATTTAGACTAGTGAGACATGCAAGCTAGGGGTACATTTCACAGGGGCTGGAGCAACAAATAGGTTGGCTAGAGTTATATAGATGAAACTTTCATTAGACTAGTAAGACATATAAGTTGGGGGTACATTCCACAGGTGCTGGAGCAACACAGAGGTTGGCAAGAGTTATAGGCAAATCAAAGGCTATGGAGATGATACTCACAGGAAACCGGCTATCTGCCCAAGAAGCTGAAAGAGCAGGTACACTTGCATACTTCAGATGTATCAGTTATTATTGATTAATGCCAGTAATTTATGTGGTTTATAGAATTGTTTGAAAGGTGAGAGAATCGATTTTGATACACCAGATTTGATCTAATATGGCTTGATCTGTCGCTCTCACTGTCTCTATTCCCCCTCTTTCTGTCTATATTCCCTCTCTCTCTGTGTCTGTATTCTCCTTCTCTGTGTCTATTCCCCATCTCTGTCTCTATTTCCCCATCCTCTGTCTCTCTTTCCTACATTCTCTCTCTCTCTCTCTCTCGCTCTCTCTCTCTGTCTGTCTGTCTGTCTGTCTCTCTCTTTCTCTCTCTCTCCAGTGGCTGGTTAACATTTAAAGACTGGAGTATTGACTTCATTGCAAGTTTTATCCTGTATAGCTCGGTCTGTTTCTGCAGAATGGCCTCGCCTTTTGAGAGTATCACACAAAGCATAAACTCCATATCTCCAGTGATGATCCCTCAGGGGTCTCTGTAAAAATTGCATTTGTGAACTGGACAACACAGTTCGTGACTCGAACACCTAACCTTCAGAGCTGAATGCAAATGACATAATCACTGTGTCACAGAGACCCCAGAGTGGCTGGGTATTCACTGAGTGTGTGCTACAAAGCAAAATATTCCATTGCTTTGACAGTGACTCCAGCAATAAACCTAACATATTTGCATTTACCTAGTAAATGGCACAGACCAAAATGGAACCCATGATTTTTTCTATGAAGCTATTGGCGTAATCTTTTTGTGATAAATATGTGGTATTGTCTTGAGGTATAAATTTTTAAATAATCTGAAAGCAGGTTACAGAAATCTTAAGTTTAAAGTTTAAAATAGCGTAACGTGCCATATTTGCATCGAAGGCAATGGTAGGCTTAAATAAATTAAAAACATTTGTTTTGCACCCCAAGTGCCCTAGTTATCAATTAATTTGTATTGCTCTCTGCCTATTAAAACCTCTCTTCCTCTTACACATGTACCTCTCCTTCTGTCAGCCTCTAACTACTGAGTTGAATTACTGTTTTTTCCTCCGAAGTCGGAGTACATCTGCCGGAGAGGCGGGGAACGAGAACTGCGAACAAATAAGCCAGTAAAACGGATGTACACGCAAAACTCAGGTCAAGGTAAAAGCCAAAGGTCCATTTTGGACGAACAACCGTGACTTACCGCCGGAATTCACAGCCGGTGAACAAGAAGAAGAAGAAGAAAGAATTACTGTTTTAAAATATTTAACTAATCTCCAAAGCTGTGATTATAATTGGTACCTTTTCTCTGAACCACTTACTGACAATATACAATTTGATTATCATTATTTTTGTTTTTGAAGTTACTTTTTCTTCTTCTTAAAGTCCATGTTGTGGGGCCTTGGTAGTTATTTCTATCCACAACCTTCTGTCCAGTGAACTTTTAGTCAACTCTGACAGAGATGATTCGTCTAGTGATCATGTCAAACTGTCCAGCATCCTTTCTCTCTGTTCCATTCTGCCTTTCCTCCCCTCCAACTTTCCTACTATCATGATGTACTCCAGTTTTCTCCTTCTCATCATATGACCAAAGAATGTAGACTGTTTCTGATGTGGGCAATCAGTTTTCTTTGTGAGTCAGTTTCTTTTAAGACAACCTCATTACTCTTTTTATCATCCAGGGTATTCTTATCATTCATCTGTAAAACCACATCTCCATTGCTTCCAAATAAGTTTTCACTAATTTACCAACTGTTCATGATTCACTTCTGTTTGTCAAAATAGGATTTTTATAGCTTTCAAGAATTATCTTTCTCATCTCAGTCGACAAATAAGGATTGCATAAAATGTTCTTCATTTTAAAAAATGCTGCATTTAACTTCTTTAATACATCTGATGTTATCAGGGTACCCAAGTACTTAAACATATAAACTTGCTTGAGGTTTGTCCCATTTATTTTGATGTTGCATTTTGGAGGGCCAGTTTTAAAGTTACTCTTAAAATATATTAAACTTAACAATCTGTACTTCTAAAATGCCGTACAGCTAATACATAGTCTTTGTGATATTAAAAAACCAAAAGTAATTGACAGACATAAAATACCCAATGTAAAAAAAAATTTAAAAAACGAAGAACAATATAACGAGAAGGGTTGAACAGGATATCAGGTAAATTATACTATTACTGCATTACTGAAGATGGTTAAATAATCATACTTACAATTACTACAGGACTGGTCAGTAAAGTGTTTCCTTCTAACGAGCTTGTTGAGAAAACTGTGAAGACTGCAGAGAAGATTGCTGGATTTTCTAAAACTATTGCTGCTCTTTGCAAAGAATCAGTTAATACAGGTATGAGTTAGTTCAGCTGTGTTAGATATTCATGTTTACATAGTGTGTGTTTCCATAGAAATATTTTCTTTGTTAGCAAGAGTTGTGAAGCCAGATGTCAAATAAATTAAACATGTTTGATGGGAGGTCACAACAGTGAGGTATAAAGATTCATAGGGGAAATGCAAAGATAGTGTTAATACCTGAAGTAATCTATAATTTAGCCTCTCTTGGTGAAACGTTGCTCTATAATGTGGACTTATAACCTGATTAGACTGCAGTGCATGCTAGGATTTGCCTGTCTCCTTGCCAACTAAATAATCCTGATTTCAAATCTCCTTTGATGTTAATTTTTTTTTGTTTTTATTTTGTTGAATTGTTACCAAGCTCTAGGATTCATACAGTCTCTCTAAGTAATCCTGATTTCAATTCTCCTTTGATGTTAATTTTGTTTTGGTTTTTATTTTGTTGAATTGTTACCAAGCTCTAGGATTCATACAGTCTCTCTAAGTAATCCTGATTTCAATTCTCCTTTGATGTTAATTTTGTTTTGGTTTTTATTTTGTTGAATTTTTACCAAGCTGTAGGATTCATACAGTCTCTCTAAGTAATCCTGATTTCAATTCTTCTTTTGACATTTATTAATTTTTTAAAAATTATTAGATAGCACTAGATTCACCCAGTCTGCTGCCAACTAAGTAATCCTGATTTCAGATCGCCTTCTACATTAATGTTGTTTTTTGTTTTTTTTTCAATAATTGTGTGACATTGTTGCAAAGCTCTGGGATTCACCGAGTCTCATAAAATAGGTATGAGAAAATGTTCTAATAATTCAGTTGACTGTTACACGATCTATATCAGCTGTAATATGTCATGATCAATAAATTATTTATTTATATATCCGCTTTCAATGTTGCAAGTACATCTCTTATACATATGATGCACAAGACTGTCCCAAATACATCATATCAAGGCAAAACTTTTGGCCGAGAGAAACACTGGTTCAGGCCAAACTTTTTTGGTTGCTGATTGAATTACAACAGACAGTGAAGTTCATACTAGAGACTGTATTGCAGATATAGGTAATCTGTTTCAGCAGGGGGGGGGCTAAGTGATCTCAGGGCTTGGCATCTACCTCAAGTACTGGAGGTCCAGGGTTCAGGCCCTGGTGAAGGCTGGGATTTTTTTCACTTGGACTTCTAGTAATTTCCTCTGGTTTCTGGGTAGTAAGATCAGACGCCCGTGTGCATTAGCAGTTGGAAATCGAAAAGAGTAGCCTAACAGGGCTGTCTGGGAAAAATTTGGAGTTTAAAATCTACCCAACGTATTTCAGGATCCTCACCAGTGCTACAGAGTTTGTGCACTGTGCTGAGATATTTAGGCTTGGGTTAGAAGTAGAACGGAGCACTTGTGGGTTACTACCCATGTACCATGATGTTGGATCCATTGTTTAAATCAAAAGAAGAACATATGCATATTTGTGTGCAGACGTTTGGTTCTGCACCTGTCAGGCAGATACACTAATGTAAACCTGTGGTGACTGCAGAGAGGTGTAGACGTGTCTTGACCAGGATGAGCCCTGGTCGTGGTGCACCTCTACATGTAGTTCAGCATCTCAGCATCCTTGCTAGCATTCAGCCTGGAGACATTACTTAGTTTCAGACTTAGCTCCTCTAAGTGGAGATCATCTCCTGCATCAGCTTTGTTCAGATCTTAGACTGTTCTTCTTCTTCCTGATCATTTCGTTCTATATTTGTCTGTCTTCTTCTTCTTTTCTGCCTCCTTCTCCTCTGCTACTGCTGCTCCTCCTCCTCTAGCACCCATAATGCTTTTTATCGTCAGATTTTGAAGAGTCAGATAAGAACCTCTATGTGTTATATATAGGTGCTTGTATTTATGGCCCCACCTATTCCATTTATCCATCGCTCGTGTGATCAACCTCAGGCTCTGCCTGTCTTGTTTTGCTTTTTTTTTTTTAAATTTATGTATCTCTACACTTATCAATCTCTCACCTCCCCCATGTGGGTTCCGGGGCCCCATTGTGTGGAAAACAAGAATAGACCCACTGCCTCCCCAAAAGCATGTCGTAAGAGTCGACTAATTGGGGAGCTTCCTTTGAACTCGGAGTGCATCTGCCGGAGAGGCAAGGAATCAACAGTCTGTATTCAAGAGAATGAGATCTGTAAAAACTGATGCACACGCAACACTCAGGTTCTGGAGCAGGACTGCAGTTCAGTAGTGGACGAGCAACCAGAACTTTCCACCAGAGTGTACAGCTGGTGAACGCGAAGAAGAAGAAGAAGAATCTCTCACCTTAATTATCAAATGCCCTGTCAGCTTCAAGACTCTGTGGTTGGGGTTCAAGAAAAGAGTCAGTGAAACATTCTGCATCCCTTGGGACACAACCAGTTCAGTTATTTGTGAGTTATGTTATATACCAGCCAGCCAAGTGGTTAGTTTTATGCTCTCATGTGGGAGATAGGTTCAGTCCTCAGGATGTGATGGAGATTTTTCTTTTGGGGAAATTAATTAAACATCCTCACCTGCACAGTTTGTGGTGTCTTCACTAGCCATGGTGTTGTGTCTGGGCGCTTGCCAATGCATCTGAACGTCATGAGTTCAGTTCCTTAAGGGAACCACACTTGTTTCAAACATGACCTTGGATCCCAGGTTGACCCAGCCTTAAATGGGTACCAGGAAGAGTCCCAAGAAGTAAAGATGGCCGTATGATGATGATCACATCACCCACAGAGTGCCAGTGGTCTGTGAATATAGGTCTAGCCCTCTGTGCCCAATCGGCCTGAAGTAATTGAAAAGGGTCTTTTACTTACACTAGCCATGCACCACTAAATCCTCAGGTTCACGACCCCCTCTCCTGCCCTACCCCAAGTGGTAAACCCTGGCAGTAAAGATAGTTATGTTGTCAGGTACATATTACATTGACCAGATAATAAACATTGTGAAATGTAAATCACCAGGTTATGATCTGAGCTTGGCAGAAGGAACTCACTTTGAGAAAAGACTTTTCCATGCAACATTTTCAACTGTAAGATTATATATACGTATGTGTATGTGTGCCGGCCAGCCTGGCTGATTGACTGACTGACAGAGAGAGAGAGAGAAAGAGAGAGAGAGTACAAATATATTTGCAGACGATAATGTTATATTGTGCTATGAAGAGGCATGGGACCCCCAGCCCATTAAGATGGCGAGTGTGAACTAGCAAGACCCGCCTGTGTTAAGAAAATGTTTCCACAATTATAGCATGCAATTTTAAGACCGTTGTTGTCATCATTTGTGTTCAGTGTGTATCTTCTCAGATGCTCAGTTCTCATCCTTTCTTTAGTCATTTCTTCCTTCATTCTCATTCCTCTCCTGGTGGGCATCGTCCATACAGTATGATCCACAGCGTTTTGTTGCCCTGAGTTCACCTCAGTACCTGTATCATTCATCTCCTGCTTGCCCACATCTTTATATAATATTTTATATATATGTGTGTGTGTGTTTGCATGCAGGTGTGTGTGAATGAGAAAAAGAGAGAGATTAAAATAAGAATGTCTAAGACACCAAGAGTTTCCAAAGCATTACAATTATGTGGAAGTCAAACCAAATTAAATCCGGTAAAATATGGACAACAGCAGTTACTAATAAGTTACAAGCAATCTTTAAAAGATTCAGGCACAAAATAGGACTAAGTGGGATTTATTGACCTAATCATGATGATGAATTATATTTTTCACTCAAAATTGACTGACTTGAATAAATTGAATCCTAGTTTCACTTAAGCCCCAATTATAATGAATCCCATTTTCCACTTAATTAAGTGGATTGGCCTAAAATCTAGATGGTAATGAATCATATATTCCAAAACTGAAAAGATATACATTTTCAAATCTTGTTTTCGGGAAGGCTAACAGAGGCAACGAATGCTTGCAGAAGTTGGATATGGCAGCTGAAAGGTGCATACATCACAGTCATATTGTGAACGTGCACAATACATTGACTTCTCTGGGTGAATGCATAAGAAGAAGTCTTGTTTTAGGGACACACAGTTTATATGTGTGTGTGTGTGTGTTTTTTTAATAACAAGAAGGATACAGTTTTCAAGTATTTGATCATAACAATGTGCTTATCATTTCATCCACAGCGTGACAGAAAAGAAGGTATGGCAGCATTTGTTGAAAAACGATCACCGTCTTTCAAGGACTGCTGATGCAGCATTTCCAGATACTGAAATAAAATGAATCCAAGCTGCTAGTCTGCTGAGTCATATGACTTCAGTCAGTCAGTCAGTAGCGTGTCCTTTGCAGAACCTTGTTTACATAACAACCCTCCGGAAAACTTCTCAATCACAAGCAAGATGTCCTGCGTCCGATACGCCCATCTGGAGATCATCCGCCACATCCTGCACCCATCTTCTCTTTGACCTTCTTCTTCCTTTCTTCCCAGGCATATACCCCTCCATTATTGTTCTCTCTAAACTTTCATGACATTTCAAGTGACCAAAATATTTCAATTTTCTGTGTTTTATCGTCTTTAATAGCCAACCTTCTTCAGTATTCAGTTTTTTTAAGTTTGGCTTCATTTGTTCTTTTCTTTACCAATGTTATTCTTAGAACCCGTCTATAACATTTGTATTCAAAGGCATCTAGGCGCTTTTCAGCTTGTTTAGTAAGTGTCCAGGTCTCATTTTACGCATTCCTTTTCAGTCAACCAATCAAATGTCTCTTAGTAATTCTGTATATTATAAATCCTCCTTCCCACTGTAGGTTCCAGGGCCCATTTTGGGGGGACAAATAAAAGATACACCCCCCTCCCTTATAAGCATATGCTAAAAGACGACTAATTAGGTGTTTGTCCTTAGATATCCTTGGAGTGCATCTGTCTGAGAGGGGATGAACTAACAACCTGCATAGAAGTAAGCCTGATTTGTAAATATGATGTTCACACAAAAGTTAAACTCTCAGACAAACCAAATTCCAGGAGTGGATGACAGCCAGAACTTTCAAACTTTAGTTTTACGGCCAGGGAACGCTAAGAAGAGAAAGAAGATACAATGTTTTTGACTCCTACCCCAGCCTGCTGTTACAGTAACCTACCCTATTCCATGTGTTACCTCAGCTTCTTTGACCCTACTATATGTTGAGGAGCAAATGGCTAACAATTTAGAGAGCTCCCCTCACACATTGTTTATGTGTCCTATTCCTTTCCCACAGGAGGTTTTTACTATAAAATTTAAACAGCTTCCATTCCTCTGCCTAGAGATTCTTCCTAAGATACACCAGCAATAGTTTTGTTGTTTAATAGATGGATCAACATCATGGCACACGGATGTAACCTATAAGTTCTCCCTTCTTCTTCTAACTCAAGTTGCACTGGCCAGGATCCTGAAATACTTACTTTAAGTGGATTTTTAACTCAAAATTTTGCCCTGGCTGCACCATTAGGCTATTTTTTTCAATGTCCAACTGCCAATGGATTTGTTACGTGCACAACAATACACACGGGCGTCTGGTCTTACTACCCAGAGACCAGAGAAATTACTAGAAGTCCATGTGAAAAAAATCCCAGCTTCACCTGGGCTTGAACCCGGGATCTTTAGCACTCGATGCGGATACCATGCCTTGAGACCACGCAGCCCTCTACCAGCGATAGTGCAAGTACTGATTACTTGTTTAATTCTATGTTGCTGTTATTGTGTCTCTTCATATCCAAACCATTCATAACTGTACTGGTACTGTTAGCATGTTGACTCTTCTTTGGCTGCTGGAGAAGGAAGGGGATGGAGCATGCATGGGAATTTCCCTGAGTACACTGATGTCAGTTCTTAATTCATTCATTCATTCATTCACATCCCATAATTGTACGTAATAAATACTTGTGACATAAAGGTGGCACCGTAAACAATGCTGTATTATTTTTGTTGATTTATTTATTGATTTATTTACAATGAGAATCAAATGTGAAATTTATTCTTCCTGTAAGAATGAAGCTGCAACAGGTCCTGCTGACCAGTCACAGCTTTTATTTTTCACAAAAAATAGCTCTAGGGTCTGTGTTTGACCCTAGAAAAACTGTCCAACAAATCAACAACAAACAGGGCACAAGCACTGGTCAGCCATCTCACACTCATTTTAAACAAGTTAGCTAAGCAAAGAAAATAGGAACATGGAATGTCAGGGCTCTTGAAGTAAAGAACCAATAATTATTGAATTTAGGATGAAACGTGGACTGAAATGGTTCAGCCAGCTAGTTAGAATGAATTCTTTGATGCCGGCAGCAAGATCGTACCTGAAAATGTAAGCATAGGAAGACATAGCTGAAGATGTGTTGTTGGAGTTTTTCATCTTTTGTTCGCTTGAAATAGTTTATCTATATCTGCAAAATTGTCTCAAGTATAAACTTCACTGTCTTTTTTTTACTACATTCAGTGACCCATAACGTTTAGCCAGAAGTTTTGCCTTGATATTGTATTTTGGACAGTCTTAGAGGATGTGATCTGTTGTCTCAGTTGCTAGTTCACATGTGCACATGGCTGATTTGCCACTGTTCTTGGAATTTTTTGGAGTAACTGAAAGCCTAAGACTTCATAACATCACAACATACCAAGCAGCCGAGTGTATCCTGACTCGACTACCTATCATGGGAGTGGTGAGGGGTTGTGAAAGATTAAGTACAGTGACAGGTTTAATAAAGCCTCAAAAATGTGCGCCATGTGTCTCTGGAAGAGAAGGATGTCCAGAGCACTACTAATCATGTCAGGGAAAGATATAAAACTAATCGAAAGGTATATCAGCGAGCTTCACAATATAACAAACAAAACGTGAACATTGCGGCTATGGAGCCTTTATCAGCACATACATAAATTAGACGATACACATACACATCACTTTTCTTCATGTCTGGAGGCAGCTAGGTCATTGTCTAGCTAATAGACTGTCGAGGCATATGTGAACGGGAAAGTAAATATCCAGGGAAATTCCATAGGCCATCACTCGAGGATAAGATGAAACTGTATAGGCAGTTCAGTCGCCTAGGATTTTAGATGAAGCTGTGTTGGCAGTTTAGTCCACTGGGTGCCAGAGTTCCCAAAGTGTATATAAAGTGATTTTCAAGAGACTTGCGAACTCTGTCACTGCAGTGGCTAGATTTAATAACTGTCACCGTCATGTCATGGACACCTTGATGGTCCAGGGAAATGCAATGATACTGGTTTCAGGACACTGTTCTCCATGACCAAAAGATGTTGTCGGAACGTGTCAGCCAGTCATAAACCCGTTTCACCGATGTATTTTATGCCACATCACTTGCAGTTAATGCCGTAAATTACATTAACTCTTTGAGTCCCGAGGAACGCATCATACGTTTATAGGTTCATACCTAGAGGCGCAAGATGCGCCGATTCTACATCTCTTTTGACTACCCCTTGGGCCTATGATGCTAAACCCCTTGGGAGTCAAAGAGTTAAGGCTCGTGCAATAGAATGCTACATGTATGTGGAAGGTGGCATTCAGGAATTCTAGGCTGATACCCTGAACCACTCTACCTACAACTTTGAAAAGACACCTAACCTCAAGAGCAAAGTGAGCAGAGCTAGCTATGGGGAACCATGAAGGACCTGCTACTGACATGCGAGTTCATAGAGGCAACCCACCCGATGTCTAATCGGAGCATACAAAATTGAACGCAAAAGGTTGGGGGGGGGGGGGGGGGGCCACCACGAGATATTCCTCCCGACAATTTTGATGTTTCAGTATTTAGGTTATTCACCGTTTGTGATACACAGCAGATTTACTCATTAGGAATCGACATAGCACACTGGCATATCCACAGGTGCTCTGTCTCCCACAGCAAATGTCTTAATGTACAGATGCTAGCTGTTCCTGTAGCTCACTGATTATAAACTTGTTCTCTTTCACTCATTCATCCTTGAATTGTTGTGGGGAACGGCAGGGAGGGCCCCCCCCCCCCCCCCCAAAAAAAAAAAAAAACTGGGACTGTCAAAATGAAAACAACTTATTGTTAGCCCAGTTTAGTGACGTCAGCAACATGACCCGTCAGATGCAGACGGTCTTGCCTGATCCATACCTAATTCCGCGCTCACACATTGGTACATATGTTATTTAATTTAACCATTTTTCGCATTTTGTTTGGTCCTCATTTCATACTTTGTGCAGGTTTAATGTAAGGTGTCAGTACGATGTTGTAAATTATGTTGTTGGTAGTGTATTACTATTAGACATTGATCGTTTGCTAAAAGAAGTTTGCTCCAGAAGGGCGTGGTTCAGCGCGTCCGAAGGCGTGGGTAGGGTCTTTTGCTTTACTTTTCACTTCTTCTTCTTGTGTGGTCTCACTGAGACTAGGTTGTATCCCAGTCACATGGTTTTCTGTATTTGTCTTGCGCTTCTCGGGTGGTTTGTGTGATGGATTTGTTAAACTTTTTGCAGATTGCAGCTTCGCCATTTATCAATCTCTTTCTTGTTCTGCCTCTTGCCTTCCTTCCAGATGTTCTGCTGCAAAAAAGTCTCATATACAGTTTGATTTGGCTGCAATTTCACTGGATGGCGAAACCATTTTATTCTCTGTCTGTCAATATAATCCAGACAAGATCTTTTCCCACTTTCTCTCTACTGCTGGTATTACTAGCCCTGTCTCTCTTTGTCTTGTTGGTGACCTTGCGGAAACACTATTTTCATATGTGATTATTTTTTTTGTTCTAGTGACCTATTCATTGTCAGTGTTTGTCACTGAAAGCATAAAGTAGGGATGAAGATGCTGATAATCATTTGCTGTTTTGCTGGAAGGCAGATAGCTGGATGTCTAATAAGTGGGGTTAACTGACTTATCTCTCTCTCTTTCTCTCTCTCTCTCTCTCTCTCTCTCTCTCTCTCTCTCTCTCTTTCTTTCAGTGGCGTCTGCCATCTTCTCTGCCATCTAATGATATTGTGTTTCCTGCCTATTCTTATTCAGTTTTCGCTGTTTTTATTGTGTCATATTTATGCAGATTTGATTTACGGAGTCAATACGATGTTGTAAATTCTTTTCTTGGTAGTGTATCACTATTAGGTCTGTACCGAATATTCGCTTCGTATTCGCTTCGGGGCCGAATAGTGGACCTAATAACTATTCGGTATTCGGCCGAATAGTTGCAGTTGGGCCGAATAAGAATAGTGGTTACCTTACACCCATTCCTGGACTGGTAGAAATTAAACA